TGGACCAGCTCTATACTCTCCATCGGATACTCGAGGGTTCATGGGAGTTCGCCCAACCTGTCCACATGTGCTTTGTGGATTTGGAGAAGGCGTTTGACTGTGTTCCCCGGGGTGTCCTTTGGGGGGTTCTCCGGGAGTACGGGGTCGGAGGTCCTCTGCTGAGGGCCATCCGATCCCTGTATGACCGGAGCCAGAGCTGTGTTCGCATTGCCGGCAGTAAGTCAGACCTGTTCCCGGTGAATGTTGGCCTCCGACAGGGCTGCCCTTTGTCACCGGTTCTGTTCACTGTATTTATGGACAGAATATCTAGGCGCAGCCAGTGGTCGGAGGGGGTCCGGTTCGGAGACCACAGGATTTCATCTCTGCTGTTTGCGGACGATGTTGTCCTGTTGGCTCCAACGAACCAGGACCTGCAGCATGCACTGGGACGGTTTGCAGCCGAGTGTGAAGCGGCTGGGATGAGAATCAGCACCTCCAAATCCGAGGCCATGGTGCTCGACCGGAAAAAGGTGCCTTGCCCTCTGCAGGTGGGTGGAGAGGTCCTTCCTCAAGTGGAGGAGTTCAAGTATCTCGGGGTCTTGTTCACGAGTGAGGGAAGAATGGAGCGTGAGATTGACAGGCGGATCGGTGCAGCATGCGCAGTTATGCGGTCGCTGTATCGGACCGTTGTGGTGAAGAGGGAGCTGAGCCGAAAGGCAAAGCTCTCGATTTACCGGTCAATCTTCGTTCCCTCCCTCAACTATGGTCATGAGCTTTGGGTAATGACCGAAAGAACGAGATCGCGGATACAAGCGGTCGAAATGAGCTTCCTCCGCAGAGTGGCTGGGCGCTCCCTTAGAGATAGGGTGAGGAGCTCAGTCACACGGGAGGAGCTCGGAGTAGAACCGCTGCTTCTCCACGTCGAGAGGAACCAGTTGAGGTGGCTCGGGCATCTGTTCCGGATGCCTCCTGGACGCCTCCCTGGGGAGGTGTTCCGGGCACGTCCCACCGGGAGGAGGCCCCGCGGAAGACCCAGGACACGCTGGAGGGACTATGTCTCTCAGCTGGCCTGGGAACGCCTTGGGGTCCCCCCGGACGAGCTGGAGGAAGTGTGTGTGGATAGGGAAGTCTGGGCGTCTCTGCTTAGACTGCTGCCCCCGCGACCCGGCAACGGATAAAGCGGAAGAAAATGGATGGATGGATGGATGGATGTTATTACATTACACACATGTTATTACATGTCACATGATATTACATTACACACATGTTATTACATTACACATGTTATTACATTAAACACATGTTATTACATTACACACTAGGGTTTAATATTTTTCCCGAAAATGAGACGTATCATATCCCGGGAAAAGACGACGCCTTTCCCGGGAAATCCCGGGAAATAGCTGTTGTTTGTAGTTGTTGTTTTTAGCCCAAGTAATGTATATCACTCAAATATATAATCCAACAAAAGCTGCCATCTCCACTAGTGTTTCACCAAGTGACTTGCTAGCTTTTATAAAGTAGCCATAGCGTTTTCAGACGTTTTGTTGATGGGCTTTCTTCAGGAATTTCACTATTATGAGATTCTAAATGTCTGCGCAATCCACTTGTCGAAAAGTGACGTGCGTGTGGTTTGGAGGCACTGACTTCAGCCCAATCAGATGAACATATATCATATAAATCAACAGAACCTACAGAGCGGCTTATTCACAATTAGTTTGGCTACAGCAGAATGTTTTCAATGGCCCGCATTGTTTGCTCAAACAAAACGCAAAAGTTCGTAAAAGGCACATTTCCAATTGGGTCTTACCTTAGTTATTAATGAACAGCTCAGACCAGTTTCATGTTTAAGTCCATATAATAGTTTGAGCGCAGATATGTAATCCCCCATTTGGAAATAAGCCCAAAGAGTTTTAAAGCGTAAAACAAAACGGGTGCCACCTCCATAAACTCCTCCGTGTGTTCGCTGCAGCCGGCTCTCGGGCGCATCCAATTTCTAATATCAACCTTCTTACCCTTCTCCTCTCTTCCTTATCATTCCTATCGTCATTGTAAGCAGAACATTACCCTAAATGCATTTTATATGATTTTAAAATGTGTTATATGTATGTTAGCCAAACCTGTTGCTGCCCTTAGCAGATGGAAAAAAAGAAAGGAGCTTTCTGATAGAATTGGACGTAACCAAATTCTGGGCTCACATGTGCCCCGTACCCTGAGCCTGGCCTCATTACAAGTCGTGGTTTAGCGCGATTAAGACCCATATTTGTTGTCAAAAACACAATTTAGGAGCCATCCTCTCAGCTGTAGACATGTTGATTGTAAATGAAATATGTTTGAACTTTGAACAACAATAAACGTGCTTTATAATAGGAGCGCACTGTATTTTTTTTTTAACTTTCATTTTCCGTTTCCCGTCATAACATTTCCCGGGAATCGGGAAATAGTTTTCATCAGATTTCCCGGGAATCCCGTATCCCGGGATTAAACCCTATTACACACATGTTAATACATTACTCAGGTTATTAAATTACACACATGTTAATACATTACTCAGGTTATTACATTACCAACATGTTATTACATTACACATGTATTACATTGCACACATGTTATTATATTGCACACGTTATTACATTGCACACGTTATTACATTACACACATGTTATTATATTGCACACATGTTATAACATTACACACGTTATTACATTACACATGTTATCACATTACACATTTTAATACATTACACATGTTATTACATTACACATGTTATCACATTACACACATGTTATTACATTACACACTTATTATTACATTACACACATGTTAATACATTACACATGTTAATACATTACACATGTTATTACATTACAAACATGTTATCTACATTACACATGGCAACATTACACATGTTATCACATTACACATAAATTACATTACACATGTTATTACATTACACATACATTACACAAAATCTTACAGCCTGTTTGGGCAGACCTGTGAGCAGGCCATTGCAGTAGTTTAACCTACTGGAGACAAATGCATGGATAAGAATCTCCAAGTCTGCTTTAGACACTATGTTTTGGATCCTGGCAATGTTTTTAGGTGGTAAAAAGCTGCTGATGTTACTGATTTGATGCGTCTTTATCTTATAAGAAAATCAACGGCATACTTGTAAGAAAGGGCCCTGTGACTCACTATTTAACCATTTGGGCTAAGAGCTGATTTATTGAGTATGGGTGGTCCTCTTATTTTACTTTTCTGTCTGAAAATTGCCAAGAATACATTACTAGTGATAGAAGAAAACTGTTGTTTAACTGTGGATTTTTTAAAGAAGGTCCTTTATTCGTCCCACAATGGGGAAATTTCAGTTTGAGCGAACATCAAAAAAGCCTGGATATGTTGGAGTTCTTTTCTCTTTTCTCTCTATTGCTCTCAATAAGTTTTGCCTCATCCATCGCGACATCCTCAATGCTTCAATATGCCGTGCTTTGCATAGATCATAGCCACCGCTCATGCAAACCACACACCGCTTCTTCTAAGCAAAGGAAGGTTTCTCACCCATCATCTGTACTTCTTAGCAAGTTTTCCCGACGTTTCGTCCTCAACCTGGGGACTTCTTCAGGGAATGAATTCTCGGACCGCGCGTTGGAGATTTATAACCTATGGGTGTGGTAAGCCACACCCTAATCCTGATACTAACTCGTAAACAATCTACGGTCTGCTTGATGTAGAAGGGAGCAGGTCTAACGACCCTGCTGAGGCTAACGACCCTAACTCCTTAGCATGTCACAGACCTATTGTCTGCTGGGATGCTCAAGTGGAGTGCAGGTCTCACCCCTCCTAACTCATTAGCATGTCACTGACCTTGTCCCAAGTTAGGGCGTTGTTTTTAGGATGTCGTCATAGATGCGAGGCAAAACAAATCTTAACCCTCCTCCTCTGTTAAGAGAAGGTTTTTGTTTCCTCACAAAAATGGCTTCTTTCACCCCTCTCTCAAACCAATTCTTCTCCCGAGCCAGAATTTTAACCTCTGTGTCATCCACCGTGTGGTTGGAGGCCTTGAGGTGGAGATGCTTTGACTAATCCCTGTACGACTGAGGGCTTACACAAACTTACCGCTTCTTCTATTTAAAACAAAGCCTCACGGGGCTGATAAACGCACAGCCAGAGCTGAGCGCTGCTGAAGCCGGTGTGGCCACTATTCCGTTTTACGCACATCTGACGGGCAGCAGCCTATGCGCGTAAACGGAGACGCGGCCGGTGGAGTTCAGCACATAGATGAGACCTGAGCCCTGGCTTCTTCTACCATGTTTCTGCTATAACAGCAACAACTTTCCTTGTGTATCCAGACCCAGAGGCTTTCTTTAGTGATGAGAGGAGGAGCGGGGCGGCTGAGAGTTCTGCTTCTAATAAAACATCTCAAAGTTATTTTTTTTTCATCTTTGCCATTGCTTATATATCTTGTATATTTTTCCCAATTCCTATCTTGTAATGCAACATACTAAATATAATAGGTGAGTTGGTCCTACCACCGGGAAAGAAGATAGAATTCAAACCGAAAGTGACATCGAACGGCCCTCGTGGGCTACAGGGCCTCAGGCTCCTCTGGTTAGCATTTTCTTTTGGAGGTGGTGCTGATGTGCGTTTGTGCGTTTGTTTAATAATGAATATGATCTGCTCATATTAGTAAATGACACATATCAGGTGCATTTTACAACACTGTGAAAAGTTCCAACAGTCCATTCCAACAAGGGAAAGCTCTGTTCTGACTCCAAGTCTGTTTTGACTGAAATATGAAGTTTAAATGATTTTTAAGTACTTTATAAAAGTGCAAAATACTTTTTATCAAATTTATTTATGACAAAATAATTAATTATGAGTAGAATTCTGCTTATGAATGAACCTGTTTGTGACATAGTGAGCATAATGAAGGATTTATGTGTATACATGTTGGTGTAGTTTACTGAATACTGGAAGCATTTCTTGGATGCTGAATAGTTTATTTTAGTGGATCCCAGTTGTTACTCGTCAATGTCCTGAAGGTCGAAGTGACGCAGGGGTGGATTATCACGATGTGTGGTTAAATCTCTTACGTCGGGGTGACGCAGGGGCCTAATATCACGAGGTGTGGCGTATTCTCTCATGTTTGGCAGTCCAGAGATCACACAACAGTCCAGAGCACTCCTGTAGATCGCCATGTCAGTCACCTATTCACATGAAAACTTCTCTTAATTACACTGCATGAGGATTTTTACAGATAAAATCAGTTGTTTGCATTTACATTGTCAGATTCAGATTCCTTATATTTGCCATTTGCAGTAAAACCACATTGGAATACATTTGCAAAAGCCCCCAGAGTGCACAAGACAAGTACATAGATAAAATGATTTCCCACACAAACCCTGCACAACATCAGATTCCCCGCACAAACTTTTCAAGAAAGATCCAGAAAGATCATAATAAGAACACATTAAGTCAAATTCAGGCCTAGAGATTTCAGCCCGGGTCCGCTCCGAGAATGAGGATGGCAAAATGACAAAGAACACATTAAGCACAGGGCTTTTATAGCTGGGTTACGACACCAGATGTCAGCATCAACACATACGCTATTCGATAATCTTGTAAACTAGTCCTGGTCTGTATCTCAAGGGTCTCACTACAGGCTCTTCTTTTCATTTCAGATGTCCACAGCCTCATTGATTTAAAATAGCAGACACTACACAGGGTAATGACTTTATGGCCAATTCATGTCCCTTATAACAATTATGATTCAACAAGTGCCTCTGTCTCTTCACGCACCTCGCTCCAGCGGTCCTCCAAGTGATCGTAGGCCTCGGTGGCATAGGTGGTGGTGAAGCCGTTGTATCCGCCTACAGCAAAGATGCGCCCGTCCAGCACCTCGATTCCAAAGTTGCTGCGAGCGGTGTTCATGGACGCCACCTGCCGCCAGGAGTTTGTGTCAGGGTTGTAGGCCTCCACGCTGCTCAGACGAACGCTTCCGTCAAAGCCTCCGACCTGCAGGCGAGAAGTGTACAACGTGAAGATGAACACAAAATGGTGTCCCATTGGTGCACTTGCAACCAGAGAAAATGTTTATTCCACATGCATTTTCCGATTATAAAATTCAATTTGATTTATACTTATATAGCCCTAAATCACAGCAGTATTTTTCTCAGAGGACATAACCGTTGAAATTGCCAACAAAAATCAGAGAATCACAGTTCAAACACAAAAAATATAGAACACTTAGGGATAAGCTCATAAGGGGAGTTGACAAATGTCCATGAATGTTGTAGAATGTTAAAGTGTCCTGGATCATCACCACAGTCCTTTTTTGTTAGACCACTAACAGTCTTACAGACCCTCCTGCATCACCAAGGAAAAACTCAGTGGGAGAAACGTGAGAAACCTTGGGGAGGTCCACATTGAGAGAGGGACTTGAATGACTTGTATGTATTTTATTTGGGCACTTTGCGTTGCCTTGTGGTTACCTGTGCTATACAAACAGATCTGCCTTTCCTTTCCTTCCTTGCTTTTTAGACAGACGCCATCTTTGTTGTTATAGCCAGTGCAGGATATGGCATTCTGCATGAATCGTTTGCATCAGAAGAGGGGGGTAATATCAAACCAAACCAGATAACAGAGGGCATGGGATGGCCCTGCCCCACCGTGACGCTGACCCAGTTACTTTGGCCAAACCTAATGCTTTTCGTCATCTTTCTGATGAATTTGTTGTGATTATCAGCCTGATGACTTTATTTACTGATAGCTACAGGTCTTTGGATCTTATTTTTTGAGTTAACAGTTACTTTTTCCAAATGCAAGTATCACACTTGAAATCAACTATTGACCTTGTATCTAAAAACAGGGTAATATGAATATATTTTCTTCTTGCAATAGCCTTCATTAGTCCATTCTTATCACTCCTCTGTGAAAAGACTCAAATCCATCTGAATAATATTAATAATGTATTCTCCATTTCTGTCCTCCTCCAGCCATGAAAATGTGTGAAAATCAATAATTCCAACAGTAGGAATAGATTCTGTCTGTCAGTTTAAAATGAACAGACGTCATAAGTATGTTTTTAGCTATTAGAACACCAAATGCTTTGAATATTCTTGTGTGTAATTGAAGTCTACATCAACGTGGACCAACAGCCTCTTCATTCAACTCTCATCTCATCTCATCTCATCTCATCTCATCTCAGTAACCCATCACACAAATGATATCCTATACTAATCCCTGCGCCTATATAAGACAAGAGGGCACATCTGAGCTTGAGATCTGGGGCATTTTGAGTTCGGGGCACACAGGAGAGATGAGTGGGCAGAGCGGGAGAGGCCACTACAGCCGCACTGACAGCAGCAGGTGACCCACATCTCCATCAGCATCAAATTACATCGATAAATGAGTAGGTTAAGCGTTATTACAAGCTGTGATTAAACCTGCCGTGGCCTCTTCACTTTGACTCTTTTTTAAAGTCAAAGTGAAAATCCTATGCCACTTCTGCGTTTTCCATTGGATTATTCATTTCTTTCACTGGGGTTTTAGAGTTTTTACTTGCTAATGCAGGAGGGTCTAAGGACAGTGATGATTATCCAGGACACTCGACGTTTAACAACATTAATGGACTTTATCAACATTTATGGACATCTGTCATCCACCCCTTATGGACCAATGGATCTATGTGTTTTTTATCAATGCATTTCTTGTGTTTGAAAGTCCTTTCTTGTTTGGTCAAGTCCACCGAGATAACTCCAAACCCAGTAAAGGTTTTCAAGTTATTGACTACAAAAATGAATATAAATGTGTATCGTGTAATCATTCAATTATTCTGGTTATCTTGTGCTTACTGCGTAGATGTGGTTCTCGTATGCGATGACAGCGACACCACTGCGCCTGACGGACATCGGAGCAATAAATGTCCACTGGTTGGATTCTGCGTTGTAGCATTCAGCTGTCTGCAGACACGCAGAACCGTTGAAGCCTCCACAAATGTAGATCTGCAAACATAGATTTTATTGCCATTGTGAGTAACAGTCACAAAGTAGGAAATTATTTTGGCTCTCACTGCAAACAAGTTATGAAAGTAAAAATAGATTAGGGCAAACATAAAAAGTAATACAAAAATCTACATAACATTTCTTAAATTTACTACTATGTGCAAGTGTATAATGTATGACTAAGGGCGCAATGATCGGTCACCTGATCGTGGCTAGTCGACTAATGATATAATCTCCCAAGATAAAAATGGCTGAATATTATATTTTGATGAAATATTCACTTACAGATCCATTAAGTGTGGCACATTTGGCGTCGCTGCGCTGCTCGTTCATGGGGGCGATCAGAGACCACCGGTTCGTCTGGGGGTCAAACACTTCAGCCGTGTTGAGTCTTACTCGTCCGTTGTATCCGCCCACAGCGTAGATTCTTCCGTTGAGCACAGTCGCACTCACGTAGCAGCGGCGTTCGTACATCGGGGGCATCTCATCCCAGGCACGGGTTGCCAAGTCTAAACGCCGCATGCTGGAGAAATGTTCCGTTCGATCAAATCCTCCCATGCAATAGACTGAACCATTAAGGAACACGGAGCCGTGATAAGCCCGAGGCCTCTCTTCCTCGTCCGTAATATTGATCCACTGAGCCCTCTTATGGTTGTATGCCTCGATGCCATTGGTTGGATTGCTGGCGCTCCAGCCGCCGATTGCCAGGAGAATAGACTCAGGTAGTCGTGGTCGCAACAGAAAGTTTCCAGCACCTGGGTTGAGAAGGACATTGTCGATGGTCTGCTCAGCTAGGTGTATAGGAAATAGGCACAAATAGTTTCCTTTCACCAGGGGATTCGTCAGGACATGGTTCTTTAGGAAGTCGTACGAGGTTTGAGCTAAACGGACCTGAAACACACAGAGCAGAAGAACTATTCAGTTAATTCAGAGTATCAAGTTAAAGTATTGACGCCAAAACAATCGGCAAAAGAAACAGTCGAAATAGCAACATTGCTACATGAGTTCATGTCGCTCACAATTGAAGAAAAGCACTGCAGGGTCCACAATGATAAAACAAGGAACAGGCGCTCACCCAGATGAGTTTGGATACAATTAAAGGTTCTATTTTACCCTGTAAATCTGGCTACAGGAGTATAGACCACAGAGATGAAGACAAGCATGAACATTGTCCTATCTTACGGTAGTGTTCACACTCTTCATTGTTTCAGGAAAAAGAACATTGTTCCATCCAAATCCTACAAATACACCTCTTACTTTCCTTTCCCTTCCTTCTCATTTTAAACACATTAGGCCAGAAAATTACATCTAGTATCTATTTCATTTCACTTGACATTGTCTTGGAAGCATAGGAAAGATTCATAATTTAGGTGCGGCCCATGAAGCGCCAGTTACGAGCAAACACTTGGGTCTCAACACTATGCAGCTGTAATATTATCAGCTCTAACTCCAGTAGTAAATAAATACGAGGGATAAAAACATTTCTATTTTACCAAGTGGCTGCGGAGTGGATAGCAGAATGAGTCTGGCTGTAACTGGGATTGTCTTTGTCTTGAGTAGTATGTTGAGGCCCTACATAGGTACTGGTCAATATCGAATGATGATATTGATTGATTAGGTTAGATAAGATAAGATCCTTTATTCATCCCACAGTGGGGAAATTTCAATGTTGCAACGCAGACTAGTAGTAAGAGCAGTAGTTAGTACAGGTACAGTAGTTGCTTAGCTAGCTGTGAAATATCAATCTTTCGGAATCTCTCTCTGTATATAGTGCAAGGTTTTATACATACAAGGCATATATTGGTATCAAAACGTAAACATCTGGATCAGTACAAAGGGCATTTTGAGGATGTTTAGTGCTATTTTGGTACGTTTTGGCCTATGGGGCTGAATGAAGCCGCTTAAGAATGTATTTTTCTGATTTTGCATGGCTTTCTCACCTGAGACAACAGCACTGGAAAGAGGAATGTGCGTAGCGATACATTGTGCTCTGTCCAGCGCACAACGGCCTCAAACACTCTGGTCTCGTCTTTCACATTGAGTCCGTCGTCTTCAATAATTTCTCTCAGCTCCTGCTCTGTGAGCTCCAGGAACTCCTCACAGTCCACCACCTCCTCAAAGTGGCTCAAGATGAACCTCCAAGATATGTCTCTCATCTTTTCTGAAACTACAACGTTGCAGAACTTCCAGATGCCGATGCAATTGTCCGGGCACATTTGACGGATCAAGAACTGGAAGCAGATTTCAACCAGTTTGTCCAGTAGCAGCATGTCGGCCGCCAGCACCAGCTCCTCCACCGTGTCCTGGCTCACGTCGGTGCTGCCTGTGTAGATCCATTCAAGCAGCAACGACATAATGCCTGCAGAGAGTCCTCCAAGTGTGAAGTATCGTTGATCAGCAGGTGCCCAGTTTTCAAAGAAGGCTCTAAAACAGAATAAGCATTTAGCATGAGGAATATCCACATTGCATATTTAGGATTGTATATATTTGTATGTCCACACAACAACTTCATTAGCCCGGTCTTACCACATCATCGTACTCTTTTAATTTTGTATTTAGGTCTGGATTTGCTCAATTGAGCTCTGGTAACAGATTGGAGGGATTAACTCCTTTTTAAGATTGAAATGATTGGATCTGAGTTTACTGAGACGTATGTAATGTGCCCGGGTGAGTAAGGCTATTAGCCTAGCTTTAGCGTTGCCTCTAACAGAGACCGTGGGGAGAAGAGCCACAAAATATTTGCCAGCAATGAAATTTGCTAAACATTTGAAGCCGAGCCAAGACGGATTGTAGAGTTTCCTTTACTATCGCAATCTCCGCCATTGCCAAACTACAACCAGCAAATTCAACGCAAACTTCTGACGGCACCGCCATCTGCCTACAACACCCGCCTCCCCCACTCGCTGATTGGTATCGAGTGTAGGGAAATGATAATTGACAGTTGATAATTGGAGTTTATGGATGGCTTAGGCCAGGCTACATTGTTATTTAGAACATTCAACAAAAAACAAACCATGATTTCAGTCTGAAAATATAACAGAACAGAAAATATAATAGAACCAACAGAAAATATAACAGAACCATGGAACAGCCACATCTCTGGTCCTAATGTGCCTTGATGCAATTACTAAATCATGGCATGATTCATGATTGTAAACAATAAAGTATAACTTCTTGCCAATATTAATGGTCTAAAACTCCATTGTATTCCTTTGAATCATTGCACAAACTGTTATATAGAGAATTTGGTGACCGAAACTTACCTGAAGTAACTGCCCGACTGACAAAGCATGAATTTGTGCACTGGGAATTCCTCATCCTCTACTTTGAGGACAGCATCACAAAAGATGTTTTTTAGGCGTAATTCGTTGGACACAGTTTTATATTTCTGTGGAGATACCACAGCTCTGTCCTCCATCTTGTGGCCTTGCAGAGTTCAGTGTGAGAGCAGAGGTCTTCAGACACTGTGTCCTCTCCAAGTAGGCTGATGGGAATCCCACTATCCCCATGGCAACTGTGGGTTCTAGTGAGTGGTTCTAGAAAGCGATGTAATCCATGACATAATTTCATATAGTGTAAGTGTAAGTGACAATTAATAATATGAATAATAATTTAATGATATATTCTACATGATGATTTTTTTGTTACTTTATTATTTATTAATAATTTATTATTTTTTGTTATAGGCAAATACTATTTCTATGATTCGTTTGTGCGTTGGGTTTAATGTTTAGATGGCTGTTTATGGTGTTTTCTTGGAAGTATTTGCTTTAGTATTGCAAGGAATATTAGCATGCTCTGGGAACCCAAAACTTCAACCTATAATCAACCAAGATAAAAATAACTATAACACACTGGGGCAGCGCGGTGGCGCAGTGGTTAGCGCTTGTGCTTCAAAGCAAGAGAGTCTTTCTCTGTAGGGTTTGCATGTTCTCCCTGTATTTGTGTAGGTTTCCTTCAGGTGCTCCGGTTTCCCCTGCCACTAAACACATGTACAATAGTCTCCAATCAAATCCGCCCTGACCACACTCCTGCCCCGCTCTCTCTTTTTTGTTGTTGTTGTTTGAAACAGTTGTTGTTTTGTGCTTTACAATTTTTACTTTTATTGATTTTTTTTCTGCCTGAGATGTTTCTGCAGTACAGGGTTCATGGTTTTACACTGGTCCAGACCAGAGTGGAGAGGATTCATGGTCTGAACCAAGTGGATCAGCCAAAAATCCACTGGAGGAATGCTAACTTTTAGAAAAATGCTAATGAAGCATTTAGCATTTTACTTTGGACAAGAGCAGAGAAAATGGTCCAAACAAAGCGGCTACTCCACCTTTTGACCTGTCCTGCTCCACCCAGAGGCTACTCCACCTCTGCTGCTGTGACCTAAAGGGCTGTTGCTGATTGTTACTATTGTTATATTTTTGGAATGATAAATTTTATTCTTTGTTTTTGCTACTACTGGACACCTGAATTTCTCCTACAGGGATCAATAAAGTCTCTATCTATCTATCTTTGGGGCCAGCACTCCACTGAAAAAAAGATTCTGCAGTCTCAGTGGGACTTTCCTGGTTAAATAAAGGTCAATTAAATAAAACATATTTGGGGGCCATAACATTGGCACTTGGCTTGTGAAGTCCAGCTACAATACAACACAATACAATACAATTTATTCTTGTATAGTCCTAAATCACAACAGAAGTCATCTCAGTGGACTTAATAAAACAATTGAAATCACCAACACAGATCAGAGAATCAACAGTTAAGACACAAAAAGAATATAGCACACATTTAAAAAAAAAAAGTCCATACATGTTGTAGAATGTTAAAGTGTCCTGGATCATCACCACATCAGCGACTATCTCTACAAGCAGCTAAGCTTAGATAAACTTGACAGGCAAAACTGCATTGGCAAATTAATTCATGAAATTCAATCCCAACATTTACAGCAACCTTATTTTAGAGCATTTTTGAACAACTGCTCTTTAATTCATAGCATTTCTTCACCTACTTAGAAATCTTAAATTTACCCAAATCATCTTAGACTTTTGTAACATCCATAACACACAGAAAAAAAATACAATCATTAATTTTGAAAACAGTTGTCTCCTTTTTCCTTAGACTCTGCGTCCTATTCCGTCTCTCACTCTCACCCTCACTCTCATGTTTATTTCATGGTGCCCTCCAGCTTCTCAGGATAAATAAATTATACATTTCATTATGTGCTCATTTCAAAGCTGCTTTCAGGAACAGGACTTGTCTTGTTTGTCTCTGAGTTTGTGTTCATCCTAAATATGAGCGTTTGTTACGATGAGCCCTGACTGTCCATACATATTTGTCATTAACGTCAAACTAATTCCTATTATTAATACGAGTGTCAGCACTTGAAAGGATTAGACTCAGTAAGTAGACAGGAGGATGTGTGTAAGTCAGGCCTGTATTTAAGCTCTGACTGCCACCCCCCCGACCCAGAAATGGATGAAGGGGAAGAAGATAGATGGATGGATGGAAGTAGCATTCTTGTTGCTCGGGCGGCTCGGTGGTGCAGTGGTCAGCGCTTGTACTTCACAGCAAGAAGGTTTTGGGTTCGATTCCACCTGCATTCCACTGGGTGCTGCAGTTTCCCCACTAACTTACTTAGTCTGGTTTCCCCTTTTTACTTACTTACTCCGCTTTCTCCTACCGGAGCACCGAGACTCTGAACATTGTAAAGCACTTGTTCTGTAAAATACGCCACATAAATAAATATTATTTACTTACTTACTACCACAATAGGTCTGGTATGTGTCTGGGCGGCACGGTGGCTTAGTGGATAGTGCTCTCGCTTCTCAGCAAGAAGGTCCTGGGTTCAAATCCTGGTCAGAATAGGGCCTTTCTGAGTGGAGTTTGCATGTCTGCCCTGTGTCTGCGTAAGTTTCCTCCAGGTGCTCCGGTTTACCCTACCACTAAAAACATGTACAATAGGTCTGGCATGCTCCTCCTGTACTGACGACCCCGCTCTCTGTGTGGAGTGGGAAACCATAATTGTAAAGTGCTTTGTGACTCTGGTCTGTGAAAGGCGCTATATACTGTACATGTATATAAAGGTTACTTACATACTTACTTGTCCCTGGTTTGCCAACCCCGCTCCCATTGCTGTGTGGAGTGAGAAATTCCCACAACAATTGCAAAGTGCTTTGTGAGTCTGGTTTGTGAAAGGCTATTCTGTGTGTAGTTTTCATTTTTAGCATGTTCCCCCCATGTCTGTGTAAGTATCCTCCGGGTGCTCCGGTATCCCCTACCACTACTGTAAATACACACCAACGGGTTTGGCATGCGTGTCCTGTATGTGTGGAGCGAGAGGAAAAATACCCACAAGAATTAGAAAGCGCTTTGTGTCTATGAAAAGGCAATTCAAGAATAACTTACTATTTACATTCTGAATATGTTTGTGTTTTTGATCCCTGTGTTTAGACTTGGCCTGTAGTCCACTGTGATTGTACTGGGTCACGACCTGACTATTTTTTGGATCTGTGTGTGTGCCCTCTGCTGTGTTGTGTGGGCTGGAGAAAGGGGGGGACCGGTTTGGGGGGAATATATTAGAGCTGAGTGGCTGACGTTGATGCTGGCCTTCCGCCCGCTGTCAGGCATGTCATCCCGTGGGTTTGTTTGACTCATGAATTGCAGCAATAGAAACGTTTTAATTTCAGATTCGGCAATGCTCAAAACGCTCATATTTGATCTATCTCGTTATAAAGTAATAGATGCTCTTTATATCTAGACTTAGAGCACGTTCAGTCGTAGCTCTTCGACACACACATGCGCAGAGATCTAGTCACACAATGACAGTGGAGAGCTTGGGCACACTCTCCTCCCCATATGGACCATCAGGGCCATCTGTGCCGCTGTCTGAGAGCCAGGAGCGGCTGCACGAGTCTCAGCTCCAGTGTTCTCCGTGGACCAGGGCTGCTGAGGGACGACCATTTCAACCCAATACAATAAGAGTTCAGTGTTAACGCCGTGTGAATATGCACCTGAATGAACATTGTCCCAGCGGAGACTCTCCAGTGTGTCCTGGGTTTAAACTGTTAGTTCTGAAAAAGGTTAAAAAAAACAATCTCAACCATAATCAGAATTAAAATCAGATTCCTTGTCTTGTCATGTGAGTAACAGGAAGTCACAAACTAGGAAATTACTTTGGCTCTCGGTGCAAACAAGAATAAAATCAATCAATCTACATACGTACATTTCTTCAGTTTACTATATACAAGTACTATATATAAGCTTGACAAACAGTTAAGGTTATGCTTGAATTCAAAATGTAAATATAAGTATAGTATATTTTGAGCATCTTGAGCCAAAACTGCTGTATTCCCACAGTTTTTTTTCCTTTCTTGAATATTGTCTCTATATTTTTTGTATTTGGTATGTCATGAATCTGTTTCATCAAAGCCTTCCTGGGTTGGATTTCTCTAAGAGTAAACACACATCTTGTGGTTTGTGTCTGTAGGTTTTGTCAAACCTTCAGTTTTGTAAGCACAGCTCACGAAACTGACTTCTGTGTTCAACATTGAACACATCACTCGTTTTCATCCATAACACACATGTGCACAGAGCACATCTGCAAATGGATTTTTATCTGGTTGTAGTCTTGTTCTCTGATCACTGCTGTGTTGATCGGGCGGAAAGAAAGAGAAGCGGAAGAAAAAAACGCCTGGAATGTACATGCATGATCTGCAGGGTTTCACCAGCAGCATCGTCGCTTTCATTGCACCATCTGGTTTTAAGACAAATTTGCTCCAATCAATCATAAAAAAACAAAAAAAACAAACATGAAATAAATCTTTCTTCTGGCTGCAGGATTTCATTCCAACCAAGCAGCAGCACACCAGACTCCAGCCATTTCCTCTAGCCTTCAGGTACAGACTGGACTCACTTCAGGAAATGGGTGGAGTCTGGTGTGCTCCTGCTTGGTTGGAATGAAAACCTACAACCGCACAGGATCTTTGAGGTCCATTTTGACCCCTGTGTCCACGTTGCTAGTGCTGATGGCGTCCAGTTCCCTTCAAGTTGACCCCTGTTTCGAGACGTCCCAGTGCCACAGATCCGCTTTATTTCTGGGTGTAGTTTTCCTGTAGGCCAGGCTAGGCTAGACACATTTATTTGTCTAGCACTGTTCATACACAAGGCAACTCAAAAGTCCTCAACAAAACAAAATGTAAAAAAACCACTCACAATATTTGTCTGAAATTATGGAATATTTGCTTAAATGGGGGCGTATGTATAGCAGACAAATGGAGGACACAAGACATATCTTGGTCTAACTTTTAGTAGTAAGTAATTTATACTTTTATTATCTCTCAATCCATTCACCACGCTACGCTACTGGATTCTTTCGTCCAGCCCTAATATGAACTGCCACGTACAAACCCCATACGCACTCGCCTCCTT